GAAGGAAATTCATTTTCCGAAACCTTGGTAATTGACTCTGCAGTTTTTATTCTGAAGGCCACACCAAACCGATCCCCATTATTTCCCAGCGGTCAAAATTTACTTTGAAGTCAGTTCGAAAATCTGAAGTGGACGTGAAGTCGAAAAAAAAAATCGAGATTACGGCGTTATTCTAAAATATTGTTGCTCAAAATCATCCATTGTGATGATTTTCAAACGAAACTCAAACGCATTGAAAACAGTGCTAAAATTAGGCCGATGAGTTTCTCTCCGATGTTGCAGTCAATAAAAATGCAAACGAACCAGACACATCGAGCATTTTTAAATTTGCCTAGTGAAATATTAATAGCACGATTATCTCTGCGGGCTCTGGTTTACATCCTTTATTTTTGGGAGAAAAATTCAAGTAGTTAGCACCAGATCACCTTTTAAACTAAAAGCTTTGCCATTAATTCCGATAAGAAGTTCCGAACGTGAACAAGATAGAATAACCCTTTTTATAGTCTGTTACGTCTCACGAGACTGGGCTGGCGGCTGGGACTGGTTCATTCGCTGGCTTTTAACGATGGGACTAAAAACAATTTTTCAGTTAATGTCTGTTCTGTTTGTGAAGAATTTGCCAAAAAAAACACAGAAAATTCAATAAAATTATTCCTGAAGAAAAAACTACAAACTCCAAATAGTTGACTATGGAAAACACTATGAAATATTTTGGAGGTTTTCACCTCACGGCGCCATCTAAATAACTGTGTGAAAACCGTCTGATCATGAACTGCTGCAGGCCCCATTTAGAGCTTTTAGGCCTTCGCCAAAATCCGAAAAAGCTCGGTTAGGGCGAGGCGCGATTCAGCCTCAGAGATGGCGCGCTGTTCGGGATGTTTTACAGAAAGTTCCACACCGGAGTAAATTCGCCCGGGTAACAGAAACCTGTTTCGAAGATTTGAGTCGAGATGCCGCCACCATGTTAGGCCGTTATTTTGAATGTTTGGTCCAATTTGAAAAAGAACTCGCTCTTTTTCTCTGGACTGGATTTTGCGTTAATTTTGGAAAAAGTGCAGGTGTTTCCACAGTTAGGGTATTTTTCATTAAGCATTTTCATCCCCCGTACGCCAGGAGTGCATCGAACTCATTGTTAACCTTGTTAGAAGTTTTGGGAGATTTTCGGTACATTTTAAGCGTTTTTTGAGGGTTCGGGATCTTTAACCGACGAATTTTTCCTTATTATGGACCCATACGCTCTATAAATGCACATTTATGACCTTCTTACGTCAAAAGAAATCGATTGAGTTCAAAAAACATACATGCAAAATTTTGATTTTTGGCCAAAATTTTTCCAAGGGTGGAGCTCGATTTTT